GGATCCGCCTCAGCTGTGCTGCGCTCTCTACCCCACTTATGCACATTAGGACAGGCTAATGTACTAATGCACATTAGGACAGGCTAATGCACATTTTTCTGGTACCTCACAGTGGAGGTTCTAGAGTTAATGCATATTAACTAAAGCATGTTAATGCATGTGTAGACACACCCACAGAGGAGGAGGAGCAGGACAAGACTGACCCTCTCATGTTTTAGCTCCCAAAACTGGTAGTTACAGCACTCACCTAAGGACCTGGAGATACATGTTCTAGGCCTCCCTTGCCCAGGGGAAGCTTAAACTTGAATCTCTCTGTTTTCCCAAACAGTAGTCCAACTACTGTGTTAGGCATAATCCAGACTTGTCTCTTGTCTGGTGCTTCTTTTAAAGCTGAGCCACTGCCCCTTGAGTTTAACAATTGCAGCCTCTCCTTACAACTGAAAAAGAGTGTTTGTACCCAAAAGCTTGCAAAGAACAATTTTTTCCAACTATTTAGTTGGTCTAATAAAAGATATCACATTTACCCAAAGAACCTTGCCTTTTTATGGGTGTAATTATAAGTTAATGAGCAACCAAGCTTAACATCTTAATTAAAATTCTATAAATTTTACTAAACTAAAATTAGCAATGAAATCATGAAGTCAACATTAGAATTGGAATTAAAACAACCCACTACTCAATGAGGGTTAAAATCATCACATGAACATAAGCAGGATTTAAACAAGAGGCGGACAATTATTTTGGGTGGAGGGCCACTTACCAAGTTTTGGCAAACTGTCAAGGGCCGCATGGGTAGCCCCATCTCTTGACAGGTGCCCCACCCCTTGGTCACCATTTTGGGACCGGAAGTGCTGCTCTCTAACCCATGGCCTTTTTTACCAGAAGTCCCTCCCCTTGCCACCTGAAATACTCCTTTCAGCAAGGGGTTTTGCCATCTCAGAACCAGAAAAATACAAAATTATATTCTAAAAATCAAACATCTACAACATACATTAATTTGAGTTCAAAAAATATTTTTGCCCTGATTTACATGTGTTTGTGTAGTGTACACAGAGGTGATTGCACAATAGCTTAAAATGGAGTCTTACTCTTGTAAACTGTGGGAGAGGTGGAGGATGGATAGGTGTGTGGGAGCATGTGAGTGTATGTGGATATGTGCAGTGTGGGTATGTATGGGGTTTGTAGGGGCAGTGTGTGGGAGGAGTGTAGCTGGGTTGTGTGAGGGGGTTTGGGTGTCTGCGTGTATGGCAGTGCAAGGGGGCTGTGGGTATATGGTGGGGGTTCCTTTGGGACTCATTTTATGAACATACACACATACACACTCTCCCTCTCCTCCCTTCCTCATTACACATACACACTCTGTGCTTCCCTCACTATACAGACACACACACACACACCCTCCCGCTCCTGGCCTGGGGGTACCAGTACAGCCCTGTGGTCCAGTGATGCAGCTGGGGGCCACATGGTGCTGCAGCAGCCGCTATATGCAGTGAAGCAGGGAAAGCAGCTGCAGGCAGAGGCTTCTGGGGTGGTGGGGGGAGGCAGGCAGAAGGGGGCTGGTGGGGTGTGAGGCCCGGCTGGCCTTTCTTCTGGGTCCTGCTGGCTTCCCCTGGGTACTACTGTCCCTGGCTCCTGTCATCTTTGACAGGCAGCAGGAGCAGATAAATATTAATTATCTAAACTTTTTAGGTGCCCCATGGGCCGGATAGAATGGTCTGGAGGGCCGGATCTGGCCTGTGGGCCATATTTTGCCCACCCCTGGTCAATTTGCATGTCTGGAATGCTAGTAGGGAATGCAGCACTTCTGTAAAAAAAGTATTCTCAATACAGAGACCCTTTGCTTTTCTGAGAATGAGGTTTTTCCATGCTGTCACCCTGACATTGCAGCTGTGCAGAGAATATCGAACCCAGGAAAAAGAGGAGACTCTGTAAACCTCTGAAAATATCAACCTGACCCTGTGCAGAACAGCTGCTGAGCTCTGGCTAAGTGGAGGAGCACGGCCTTTTTAAGTAAAACTTGTGGTAAAGAGCTGAGTGGCAAACTAAGCAGAGTGTGAATCACCCAGGTGTGAATGATCAGGGATCTACTGTACACTGCAGCACCAAATGTTCAAAAAATGGGAATATCAGCACACAGCCATCCCCTTAATACCCAAAAAGCCATGGGAAGCAAGTGTCACCACTAAGCACAGCCAAGGGACTGATGGCAGAGGCTAGAAGTCTGGAAGAAGTGTGGCAGGAAGAAGTCTGGTTGGAAGTGGAGAAAAGAAGGCTGAAAGGGCAGGGATTTCATAGCAGGCTTCGAATAGCTGAAGAGTGGTTATAAAGAGGACGATGATAGAATACTCTGTGGCCACAAGGGACAAGACAAGGAGGACAGGGTCTTAGATTACAACAAGGGATATTTTGGTTGCATATTAGAGAGGATTTTCTAACTCGGAGGGTGGTTAAGCATGGAATTATCTAGAGAGGTTGCAAGATCTCTGTCCTCGGACATTTTAAAAGCAGATTAGACAAGCACTTGCCTGGGATGCTTTAAACAGGGATGATCCTGCCTTGAGGAGGGGGCTGGAACTAATGTCATCTCTGAGGTCCTTTCCACCTCTAATTTGTTGTGATTTTATGAAAAAAGACAGAAAGGTCCAATGCTGGACCACTGCAGCAAATCCTGCCAGGGCTGAGATAGAAACACAGCACAGGGACCAATGATTTGGGGAACACAAACTGTTCTTCATGAGAGCTAACATGCTGCAGCCCAACTAACCAATGATAAGTAGGGCACAGAAAGATTTAAAGAATATGTCAAGCAAGGGAAGCAGCCCCTACAACAAAGGAGCCACAGACGTAATGCCACAGACATGGGCAGCAGGTCCTAGTCCAACCTCCTAGGAGCCATACACAAAATGGCACATACAACTGTTTCAGATGTGGCGTGAGAGCTACAGATTCATGACAGCAGTGGGGATGACACCGAAGGCAACTGTGCAAAAGTGACAGATGTCAAACTCACTCAGACTGATGGGGCCAGGCCAGGTCTTTTGGGAGCCTCAGATGTTTAATGTAGAACCATTAGAAGAAACAAGGAAACTGAGCAATGCAAAGAACCAAGAGGACAAAGCCTAACACAATGAAGGCAGCAACAGGGTGGCAGCAAGATGCCCCCCCAGAAAAAGTGGTAACAGCAACAGTAAGCAAGAAACCAGCTTAAAGATCAACACACATTAAAGACTGTAAGACCTAAAAGGCTGCAATAAACATTCAGTGAAGACTATGTCCCTTAGGGTGGGCTATGTACTAATAACCAGTGGCTCTACCAAATCAGACAAATCCTGCACTCCAGCCACAGGAGAAGGGCGTAAAGGACTCTGGGTAGCAATTCCACAGTGCCCTGCTACAGGTAGCACATTTGAGTTCTGGCTGCTTTTCACGTTAGTGGCTTGGGGCTGATTGCCTGGTATGCAGGAGAGTGCTGTACTGTACCGCAGCAATGTCTGTCAACTGTGTCACACATATGCAGGCTTACCAAGTAGTAAAAGGTTATTTCCTTCTCCTCTCCCACAGCCTCTGGTGTCAGGATGTAGTGCACATGCACCTCCAAGTCAGAGTCACAGGGTTATCTCTCGGGCTGCGGCTCAATTTTAAGGAAACTCTTACTTGGGGAATAAAACCAAGTTCCAGTGTGAGTGGCTGTACCATATTCAGGAACGACCTAGTTCCTGTCATAGCAGTGTTGTATAGATTTATGTATTGCCTGAAAAAGAAGAACAACATCTTTAGCAATGATCGGAAAGTCGGTAAAGGGTAGCATGCAATTGCATAAGAAGAACCACATTTTTTTAATGTAGATTTTGCAATTTACAATATAGTAATCCTACAGGGACCTTCCTTCTGTGGGGATAAATAGGGGAAAGAAGTGAAGGGCCAAACAGGCAGCATATGCAGGAGACAGGGAAAAAAAACATTTAAAGAGGGTGAGGGAAAGGAAAGCAACATTCCCAGACAAAACACTTCATTTCCTCTTCTGATAAGCAAATAGATTAATAATCACATGGATGTTTCTTGGAAAGCTTATTCAAAGGCATCTTCAGTTGCCTAGTCACTGACCTGGATATTAATGGAGGCAGTTGTGAAGTTTGTAGTATCTACGGAAAACCAAACATTTCCTTGCTCATCTGTTGTGTAGTTGCGATCATTCTTGTCCCCAGTCACATAAAGCTTGATTGCTTCATTGACCAAAGGAGCGTTTGATCCATCCACCATCTTCACCTAGAGGAGAAATAAGCAATTGCTGCTGCTTATACCAGGTAGGGAAACACATTCCCACAATTTTAAGGGGCACTTGCCCTAGGTACTTCTCTTCTGTGGTTCCAGAGGGTGTTTCCTGGGGAGCAGACAAGGAGCAGGCATGTGTGATCCTGTGAAGTACCACAGAGGAAATGGCACAACCTCACGCAGTTGGATTAGGAACATGGGAATTAGAGTACCGAGCCTGGCCAATGGGCCTCGTACTCTGTTTAAGAGAGTCCCCATGGTTTTCCAGGAAAGCAACAGGATCCTCTTCAATGACAATGTTGTATCAACACCCTCATTAACCACAGTTTGGAATGCTCTTCTGCATGGGTGTAGATACTGCAAGTCCTGCACTCTCAAGGGCTCCCTACCTTCCCATAAAAGAAGATTTCTGGGCTGTAGTGAGAGTCCACGTATTCAAAGCTGATTTTGCTCATGAGTCTTGTGATTTCACAGGAGCCTGTTCCAGTTAGCTCTACCCCTGTAAAATAGCACAGCAAAGAAGGTTTATTAATGAATGCATCTTGGGTCTCCCCTACAGCACCTCCAGTACTCCTAACCTGCCTTCCCACCTAACTGGCCTTTGCCTTTTCCTCTCCTTTCAGACTGGCAGCCCCATTGGCTATAGCAGAACTGCCCTACAATGCTACTAAGATAGCATTGTAATCTGTGATCTTGCCTTGCACTTCAATATTCATCTGGTACTCTTTGCACTGGAGTTGGAATATCTTGGTCTTTATCACACTGGAGTCACAGCCACACGCGTCTGCATGAACAGGGGAGAAAAGAGGACATAGGATAATTCCTAATCAATTCACGGCCTCATGAACAGGAACAGATCTCCCCACACCCAACACACCTGCCTGCTGCTTGGTTTAATCCCATCCTCTTACTAGCCTGATTCTGCTGGACTTCTTCATTTCCCTTCTGTCTCCAGGAAGACCCAGGAGACAGCTCATTATAGTTTCATAGTTAGTAGGGTCGGAAGGGACCTGAGCAGATCATCAAGTCCGACCTCCTGCCATGGCAGGAAAAAGTACTGGGGTCAAATGACCCCAGTGAGGTGTTCATCTAGCCTCCTCTTACAGACTCCCAGGGTAGGAGTCAGCACTGCTTCTCTTGGAAGTTGGTTCCAGACCCTAGCTGCCCTGACAGTGAAGTAGCACCTCCTGATGTCTAGTCTGAATCTACCCTCTGCCAGCTTGTAACAGTTATTCCTAGTCACTCCTGGTAGTGCTCGGGGGAACAGGGACTCCCCCAGTGCCTGCTTGTCCCCCCTGACTAGTTTGTAACAGGCCACTAGATCCCCCCTCAGCCTTCTCTTGTGGAGGCTGAAC